AGTTTACTGAAGAGCAAATATTTTTCCTTAGCTTAATCATGTTGCTTACTACATTTTTCCTCTTCACTTTGGAATCAAATTAAATTGCCTTCTGAAGAAATTCATCTGCTGTCAGGTGTTCCTTATATGATTCAGCTTTAGAGTGTTCGACTTGAAACTCCTGAAAGCGGTTACATTTTTTGGAAATGCTCAATATTTACTCTGAGAACCAGACTCACTAGTTAGGAGCAGTAACAAATATAACTTACAAATAACTACAAAGCACTGTGCCTTCTCAGTATTGCTAGATTCATTTGAAATAACTTTAAGAACAGTTTTAAGTCTGAAAACCATAGAAGTGCTTGATAACCGCAAAACTGAGGTCACCTTGTATCCTGACCCAAAGCTTTGAGTTACTTATACAGGTGAGGAATGAGTGCTATTAATTTTCCGTAAGTGGAAGTGGTAACTATGGACACAACATAACTTCTGAGTAGTAATGTGCGATATTATTGTTATACACAGTACACAATTACAATTTTAAATTTAGTAGTGAGCTGAATATAAACTAAGACAACATCCCAAATTAAAAATCAAAGAATTTTAATGAGTTGTTACTGCAAAAGAAAATAATTAAAATAATACAAAAAATTGCCACTTTTTAAAATCTTCAAGTAGAGTCAAGCTCAGAAAATATTACAAGAACAAAATTTAAAAGTTAGAAAATCTCGCTCTACTCCTACCCTTGAGAAGTATGAAGAATACCCCAAAAATGCACACAACAAAACCAATTTCTAGGGCAATTTTCCATCTTAATTTCATGCATGCAGAATGCATGATTTTCAGTTCTGCTGTTTCTTCATTTCTCTTTGTCTATCAGTTTCATCTGAGGTTTCATCAAAGCAGGAAGCACTGGCTTAAAAAAAAATTAGCAAAACATCAGGTGGCTAACAAAGGTCATTTAACCTATGATCTGACCAAGTAGGCAGACCTATGTTATTGCTTCACTAACTTGGGGCAGGTACATGGCATGTCAACATAATTAAGGCATTAGTTGAAATGATGAAATCACTGAAAATCCTGAAAATGACGACAAGTGATGTGTTTTAAACAAATGGAAGATATGCTTAGAAACAGGTTCATACTGAAGACATTGCTGTGTTTCTGGACTTACTGTAAATACAACCCTGTTGGAGCACTCACTGAAAGAAGATTAGGCAGTTGGCTCAAATCTGTCAAACTTGTCATTACCCTTACTCTTCTAAACTGACTTGAAAAAGCCTGAATTCTCTGAGCTTAGCTTTTGTCTTTCTTTTTCCTATTTTTGAAGAGCAGGCCCCGGTATTTGACAGGTATTTTTCAGTTTCTTGTTGATACTTTTGCTCTGCTATTCATTAAGTTCTAGTATTCCTTTCTGGAAAATAATCATCCATCTCCTAAAGACAGGGTAGAGAAAGGAAAAGCTTGTTACTCTTACTTTTTAAAAATCTTGAAATGCACAGGCATAAGCTTTATTTTCTATTCCTTCTCTTCCATGTACAGGCTGATTTGTCTCATGTAGGTCTTGACGAATTATATTTCTCTGTTCCAGGCACAAAAATAAATAAAAAAATGTTCCACAGGCACCGAAATAATCCACATAGTTTTTCTCCAGTCCCAAGAACACATCTCTCAGCTGTACAAAATTTCATGCAACTATTTTCCAGCTGACTCAAGTTAGACAACAGTAGCTGGGAATGGTCAAACAGTCTGATCAGGGCAGGAAGGGTATCCATAGCATCATATTTTTCAGTAGCAAATTATGTAGCACACTGCATATACCATATCTTGAACATCTGCCCACAAAAAAAATGCTTCTGGCAACAGGGCATGACACTGTCATTATTTTCCAAAGCCTGATAATGTATTTGAGTACAAGATACAATATTTGTCAGTAGTTTTGGAGAAGGTATTTATGCAGCTGCAGTAGAAGTACACTTCAGGTGCAACATGATATAACTTAGGTGACATGATTAGGTGACTTCTTTACACAAAAAGACCAAGCTGCAAACAATACCGCATTGCAAATTAAGTCCTGTTATATTTTCCCTGTGAGTGATAATATGGTAGGCCTCCCACAACAGTGGTCGGAATGACCAATGAGGTCTGTAAGGCGTCCATATATAAAGCAGTAGTTTCTTTCTACTGACCTTTAACATTGTTCCAAATCTGAAAAATAAAGAATCTTGTGAAATAAGCAAAGAGATGCTGATGGAAATGGGAAGTGATTTTTGACAGGCCTTTTAAGTTAGGAAGCAATGTTCAAAGTGATCTTTGGAAGCAATGCTCAAATGACTACTGACTTTGTAAACACGCTAAAACTGTGAAACCAGATTATTTGGGAAGCCCTGCTCAAACCCTTGTGATTATCTCACAGAAACTATGAAAGGCAATGACTTCAGTCGGATGGATCAGTTCAATAAAACCTCTAGCCACTTGACAGATTCCAGGGAGCAATAATATTTAGCACTCTTGCAATTTCTCCTCATATCCCATTTTAAAAGCAGTTGGGAAAAATCCATGAGAAGAATCTGAGAGCTAAATTGGAGTACAGAGGGGGGATGAGCAGTAAAACAGAGAAAAGAAAATAATACAATAAAACAATAAAATCAATCACATAAACATTTTTTTTTGTCTACATGCTCAAAGTTATGAGTAGCTGCCCAATTACCAAGGAGGTACTTCTAGGCTTGAAATCAAAATCTGTGCGCTTGCAAAATATAGAAGTTGGAGAGATCAGTAGTGATCTATGCTTTTTCATTAATTAAACCTGTGCTGGAGTATCTGTTTTGAACAGCTCTCGCAGATGGGTGTTATTTCAGAATTAAAAATAATAATAACTCTACCAGCAACTGTTATCCAGAAATTAGACCCTCTTCATTTCAAAAACACCACTTAGATAAGAAGTTACTCTTTAGTAGGCAATCTAGAAAAGTCGATCTGAAAGTTAAGTCAAAGTCATTTTCACAGAGGCTACTGCATACAGAATGTATATGCGTTTGTGTGGATCCCATTTTATTTGCATTTGGCACTTGCATAAAAAGGCCTTCTTTTCTTTTTGAGAAGATAGTGGGAATAATCTCCTGGATCAATTCTTAGTAACTGAAAAATAGGCAAAAATACCCCCTACTTTGTCCCTTATAAAACATTACTAGTCATTTTTTTTTCAAAACACACAGAAGAAAATCAAAACAACAAAAAACCCCAGCTTTTTAAAGCTCAGTTGTATAACTACAGAGTTGCTAGTTTGGTGTGAAAGAGAGAGAGAAAGCAGGAAGCTGAGGGAGGAGGAACCATTTTCACACAGGAAAAGCAGGAATTGGCAGATGCAGTGACAGCATCAGATGTCTTTGATGACAAAGTGTTTACTATTCTCTTCAAGATGTCACCACTACCTCTGAAACAACATCCACATTCCCTCTGAAACCACAGCCATCACACCATCACACCATAGCCTGGCCAAATAAATTGATGTAGCCAATATAGGCATCTTAAGCAAAACAGTAGCAGCTGAATGCACAGAGTAAGGCCTAAATCTGAAGAGTTACACACCTGATGAACTTTGCTTATCATAAATAGACCTGTGAAAGATTATGGAGCTCATGGGAACAGAGTAAAGACCACAAATGTTTGCAGAACTGGGACGTTGGTTAATAAATACTTTATGTTGGAGAAAAACTATTAAATATAGGTAACTGTTAAGTATTGGTACAGTGTTATTTAGAGTAGCCATCACATCTGGGCTACATGGCATGGCTTTACCATTTTCTGATCCATTCTGCTAATAGGTTGTGCTTGATACATATGCTAATACTCATATTTTAACTGAAATATTATCAAATGTATGCAGCTAGTTCCTCATCACTCTAGTGAATTAAAAGAGATAGAGATGAGTCCTAGAGGAGCAGTCCTTAAAGGAAATCTTGGATGTTTTAAAGCTGCATGACTGACTTCTTCCACTGGACATACAGTATGTGTCTCTGGCACTTCCAAAGCCAGCACCTTTTTTCCAGCTCCTTTCACAAAAGTGAGAAATGATCCTTGGTGGCCTGAATTTTAATCTGATAACCAGTAAGATTTGCCATTTAGAGTCACAGTTGCTGCACATCCCAAGGGAGATATGGCACTCCTAAGGGGTAGGTGCTCATGGAAGCCCCTAACAGCACACATCTCAGGAGAAGCCTCAGCCTGTGGCTCTGGTTATAATCCTAAAATAGCCTCACCTATACCAAGAGGTCTGACACAAACCAACATCAAAATAGTTGGATGAATCATAGTTACAGTGCATATTTGTTACAGTCATTATTTCCAGAAAGGGATTTTGCAACTTTTTCATAGCTACGGCATTTGTTGCTACAAACAGCCTACTGTTTTCTGAAGGTTTGAATCCTGACTAGTTACATATTGAAAGTCAGCTTTAAGTTGAAATTTAAATTGTGCTTTGTTTTACTTTATGCCCCAAACTTTTCACAGGCATATTTGAAAGAATAAATGCTTTAACTGTTAACTTTGTTCTAAGAATACCTTCCATGAGACAGATAACCAATTAAGCTGAGGTGATGCATTCGAAGTTTAACTAAATCCATGCAAGTACGTGCAAAGTATTGGCCTGCATGCACAGCACCGTTTAGGAAGGCATCTACTTTTGTGCACTGTGTGGTTTCATCACTGTCTGATGGAACAACACTTGACCATAAGAGCGATTTCCCTCGGCCCCCTTGCCTCGCGCCGTGCCCTCGGCGACGCGGAGCCGAGGCGGCGGGGCCGGGACAGGCGGCCGAGCAGAGGTGCCAGCCCGGCTGAGCGAGCGCGGGCAGTAGGTCTAAGAGCGGCAGGCCGACAGGGGAGGGCGAAATGCACAGCAAGGAAGGAGGGAGGACCGAAAGGGGGAGGAGAAGGGGGCGGCTTTAGGAGCAGGAGAACCGGGGGAAGTGGAGCGGGACCTGGGAAGAGGCGGATTTAAGGAGTGGCACCGTGGGCAAGTAGCTGCGTTGCACTTCGTGCTCACGTCGGAGTCCCGCTGCTGCAAACTGCTCCCCTCCTCCCCCGGCGGCCAGCAGGATGCCTGTGAAAGGAGGCACCAAATGCATCAAGTACCTGCTCTTCGGCTTTAACTTTATTTTCTGGGTAAGAGAATTCCCCCGGCCTGCCCGGGACAGGGTGTGTTTGCCCCTTCTTCCCTCCTTGCCTGCCCGTCCGAGGTTCTCCCCGCGGAGCGAGAGGCTCCGATTTCGCCCTGCCTCGACGTAGCTCCCCGGGAACGAGCTGTTTGCCGTCTCCCCCCACCCCCGCCGCGTCCATGGGGTCTTCCCGCCGCGGGGGGCAAGGAGGGGGG